ATAATACTCAAGAACTTACAGGTAAAATTTTCGACTTTGTAACTTTCACAGGTGAAACTTTGATATTTTGATAAACTTCGATAAACTTTGGTAAAATTTTGATAAAACTTTGGTAAAACAGGCAAGAATTCACAGATAAAACTTTGAAAAAGTTTGACATTTCACTTTTTGAGATAAAACTTCATCTTCGAAATGTAGTGAGCAAGTTGGGAGCCATTGAAAAGAACAGAATTATCGTATTTTTCGGATTCTTATTCAGGAAGATGCACTAGTTATACCAGGAATACTAGGGCGCTCGGACAATCGGTGCGGGCATCTCATGGATTTTTGACTTTATTGACGTACAATTTACTTAAATTTCAGAGCAAGTTCGTCATATCCAAGAAAAACTGGAAGAATTTATGGTGCAACTACAGAAAGAGAAATCAGCATAAACGAATACTGTGATTTGAATTTCACGTGGTATTTTTTTTTCACTGATTGAAGTTGCATGTTCAATAGTTTGTCTAAGTTTTTTTTGCATTTTTCATCAGTTTGTTTGATGTGACATATAGCTTTGGCGTGTTTGTAGTTACAATTTTGATAGTTTGTAACACATCATATGCAAGTTTGTGAATAAAATTTGATTGTCTCATTCGGTTCTTGAACTTCACAGACAAGATTTCCTGAACTGTCGCTATAGAGCCCCCGATGTCACGGCATTTCAGTTGTAACAAAGCTTTTCAAAAATATACAACACGACGGCAATCGAAAAGGTACTCTTCCTGGAAAATCGTGCAAAGAAAACTACATTTCAAAACGGACATTACTTTTCGAACAACCTGACAGGAACTGCCTTATCCGAGCAGATCTACGTAAATCCTAAATTACCGTGGAATTTTTTTGTTTGTGTTTCGGTCACTCTGAACCTTTCCTGACGTCACTTGACCGATTCTAACTAATTTTTGCTGGAATGCATTCTTGAAATATTGGAACAGCCACTAAATCGTAATCTAGTTTTTCGACTGTTAGCGACTTTGCCACTCGCTTTGGCCGGTGATGCTTCGTGCGGTGGTCAACCTGCTGGCGATTCTGACGTTCGTTTCGTCTACGCCTGAACACTTCTCAAGTGCGTTTTGTTAATCTTTCGAAAACGTATTGTCTGTGCGACCTCAGTTTTACCCCCGGTTGTGCTTGGAAGTTCAATATGCACTCTTGCCGTTGTAATTTTCCAACTGGACTTTTAAAACAAACGGGTTGACGCAAAGAACAAAAACATCGCGATCGCGCTGCTCTTCAATATGCAATTCTGATTAAGAAGTCGACTTTTGTATAAATTTGATTTAAAATTAAAACAAGCACAAACATACTTGAAAATTGTACGTATCCTACAAGATTGAGAAAATTAGCGTAAACGGACAAATTCCTGAAACACCTGGAACAATTGCCAATTTGCAGTGTGGTTTTCTACACGTGGGATGGACTGGTTTCTTCCACTTATCCTACGAAGTTGAGACAATAAACAGCAAGCCGACAAATTTCCAGAACGCCTGGAACCGCTGCTAATTTATAATCTGTTTTTTTCTTACCTGTGAAATTGGCTTTTTGCGAGTTGCTTTGACCAATGCTGCATCGCCTGGTGGTCAGCCTAATGAAGAATTCTCCCTTTGTTTCGTCACAAGGAATGATCAGATCAATGGTTTTCTTCTAGAAATAATTAAACCCCTTTCTGCTCGCCCCTCCCTACCTCTTTCGCTTTCATTTCTTAATTCTCGACAACTTTTTTATCAAACTAAAATTATGAATTCTTCTATCAAATTTCTCCTAAAAATGGGCCGATGAAAAATACAGACCAAAAAAAAATCCTATGGTTCTACTATTACACTGTAAAGCTTGATCTAGGACTGCTTTCGTTGAAAACTGCTTTAGCATTTTAACTTATTACACAATGGGTTGATGGACACAAGGAGTGTTTTTAATATTTTGGCTATTCAGCTGGTCTTTAACGCTTGAAAGAGTAAATCTCAACAAGCTTTACATCCCGAACTGCAATGACGATTATTGAAGATGGGAAAGCGATTTGTTCGTCAAATTTACGTAATCCTGAAACCTTCTAGATGATTTAAACGGCTAGATGGAACGAAGAAGCGTGACCTCAGGGAGAGTGAGTGTTTTTTGATGCCACAAAAGCTATGATGCGCCACTGATAAAGTACAAACTTCCCTATCTCCTCCTGTTTCGCCTGCTGGACCGGTTTTACGTTCTCTTATTGCAACAGTCCCTCCTCCTCCTCTCCCTCCGCCGCATGTTCCTTGCACTCTGAACAGCCGGTGCAAAACTTCGAGCTCAAGCTTTAAAGTTCGTTCCAACTCTTTGCCTCCAGTTTAACAAAGGCAGTATTTTCCTCAAAAAATTAGTGTTCCCTTTTTTTAAAGTTAAATCCGAAGTCAGATCTTGACTTTTAATTACCTGAAATAACCTTCAGTTTTTTGGGAATCGTTTCGAAAAAAAAAACAAACCAGTTTAGTGGGCTTTTGAAGCTTTTAGCTATTCTTAGAACGTAAATTTTGCATCAAAAAACTTTTTGTTAAAAATTAAAATTCGACCTACTTACAGTTGTTGTCCCATAAGAATTTTGCTATCAGATTCAAATTCTAAATTTTAATCCAGTATTCTAAATTTCACCAAGAATATTAAGACGGCCTGAAAAAATCAGCCGAAGAGTTTCACTCATTTGGCGCACAGTGCTAGACCGATTTGATTCCGAGCTGCATGCCTTTAATCAGTGGCCATCTGTTTTGAGGCTTATTATTTGGAAATATATCTTACTATATTTCATTATCTTAATAAATTTTATTAGACTTTTCCCAGCTACTTTTCCAGCTGAAAATCGAGGTATCTTCCTCCGTTTCAACAAACGATGGGATTTGACAGGCTACTGCGAGGTGTAATACAGTTCCAGAAAACTCGACGTTTGGAAGCTCTGAAACATTTTGGTGATCTGAAAAAAGGAGCCACCCATGCAAGAGCTGTTTTCTTTGGCTGTGTAGATGCTCGTTTGACGCCTCTCAGGTTCATACCTTTTATCAAATCAACATAGGCCGTAAACACAGAGAGAGATTTTGCGTACTGTATGGAGCAGTAATCACCATTACAACCTCCTACTCGCTATATTTTGAATGTAAATGTACTGTTTAGCAATGCTGGAACGAGGGTATAGTAAGAGGAATAAAGAAATAGGATTCATGGGCATCATTTCTACGGCTTTTCGTACCGGATTGTTTTGAAATGCCTTCTCAGAAGATTATGGTAGAACCTGAATTTTCGTGCTTTTAAAACTAATAAAAAAATTTTGTCAATACTAAATAATTTTGGGCGATTTTCTTATGAAAATGCTTTTTATAGCCTCACTAGCAGTCAACCAGGTGAAATCTATGTCGTACGAAATGCAGGAAATATGATACCACCGGCCAATAATAATGGTGCGTTGCGAATTTGCTTCTTACAAATTTAGAACCATTCAAATTCAGGGATTTTAAAATCGCTAGTAAGAAAAACCAATACCTACCTCCCTGATTCTTTCCTCTAAGTGCACTGCCTTGATAATATCGCCCATACTAGAACGAAATCGTTGTTTTTTGTCAAAAAACTTATTCCATATATAAAACACGTGGCATTACTTGCACGTTACAAATATCTCTTTATCACATTTTTGCACATTTTATGAGTTTTGCTCTGATTACACTCAAAAGTTTCCTTTTTATTATCATTGATTTGAATATATGCGCCCACATAAACCATGCTTTTTATTTTAAAACAGTTACTGATAAAACTTGCAAAACTCTTTGATGGTGTAGCTGACAACCATGCCATTGCCTTTTTTTTCATTCCATGGTTGTTTTGTCCACTGCTACATCGCTTAGTGGCCAGTTTTCTGGCGATCC